GCTATGTCAGCTAATATTTACCATCTATGGTGTGAACGCAACAGGAGGATTTTCCAACTGAAGTTTCAACCTGGGGAGAGTTTGGTTAAGAGAATCAAAGTCGATATCCTTACTATTTGCCTAAACTCTCCAAACATTGCGGGGGATTTGGCAGATTGGATCAGGTCTTTATAATTTGCTCTGTTTAGTATCCTGTGCTCATGACTGGTTGTGTTACAGATTGTGTTCAGGTCTATCTGGGGGCACTGCTGGCATTCTTGTTAGCCTGTTCAGACTTGGTGTAGGATCCTCAAATATTAAGAGTAGTGGATACTGCTATTGGGTTGCTGGACAGAGTTATAAATTGAAGCTGTGCACGGTTTCTTTTTGTATACAGTCTTTGTTTCTGTTTCTCATTTTTGTTGTTATAGCTAGGTCTGATTTCTAGCTATAGGTTGTTTTGATTTGTTATCTCATGTACATAATTCATGTTCTTGAGATTCTTGATGTACAAAACTCTTACATATTGGTGATGAATAAAATTTTTCATTTACCAAAAAAAAGGTATATATAGGTGATCAATAGGTGATCAATCGGGTGGGCCTTGCTTCACTTCACGCGGAAACGAAATTCCCACATGTGGTGGACCCCACAACATTACGTGTTCACAATGCAAGCATTCCACCGGTAAATGTCATCGATAAGTTGTCTCAATCTACATATGAAAACTTTAAAAACTCATTTCAATCTTTTTTTTTTAATTTGAACAATGTAAGGAATAACAAACAATTCGTTTAAACGTGTTGCCCGCCAATTTTATTAGAATATCTAATAATTTTATCTCGGCTCATTTTATCAAATAAAATAGTATCTTATTTTTATTTATTTATTTTCTTTATACAAAATTCAGACAAAACATGAAGGCTGAGACTCCGGTCACATCTCATCTTTTTATCTGAAAGGAGTTAAAAATGTTGCAAGTCGCACTATAATTCACTATCCAGCCTTTTAATTTAATTTAATTTAATTTGATTTCGGGAAAATGAACGGTTCTTCACGCTCGGCCACGACGACCGCCACCGCCCATGAACGCCATGCACGTGGTGGAGGGAATATACGTTCATAAACCCTAGGAAGGTGATATTTCCATGCACGTGACAACCCCAACAAAACTCAGCTCGTGTCAGGAGTAACTCATGTGCCGGTCATCGAGTGCTAGCTCTTTGTCCCAACTATGCACACAAGCGCACGCTTTACTCATAAAGAAAAGCACTCACACGTGCGTCTACAAGGAAAGAGATGTTGTGAAGTGATAGTTTGCTAATGAGAAGTCGAAGAAAGTTCAGAAAGAGACTAATATTTAAATTTTAAAGGATTCTTTTACATATAAGTCCTTATGTTTCTAAGAAATGGCATACTCCTCTCGTTCTTCGCGCGTGGCGTGTGTAGTAATAATTTTGTGAGATGGTGAACTCAAATCTTATCGGGAGCTAGACTAATCGACTCATCAAATTCATAATCGGCATTGTACATCTTGTTTAACACATTATTAAATGTATATGATAAAATTTTCACATAATTTGAAGTCTTCTAGAATACAAATCAGACTAGTTTGATATGTTGATTTTTCAAGCATTTTAATAGTCGTACCTTCTACCTATCCTTCTACACATAACTCAAACAATGATTAAATTTTTTAAAATAATATAGATGATGATGAGTGCAAATTATGATGCGCGGTGCTGATCATCATTTCGAGTAGCCTATTAGGCTAGCTCATGATAAGAATTCGAGCTCACGTCATTTTATGGCATTTTCATATATATATAAATGTATATATATATATATATAGTACGGTAGTGATATATCAGAGAGAGAGAGAGAGTAGAGAAGATGAAGTATGGCTTGGTAGTGAGGTGATATTAATCCCTCCAACTCATGTCAATGGTTGTACTCTCATAACTCCTTAAGGCACATGTAAATGTGATCCCATTTGAATGAGTGGGTAGGGGATTATGTCACCGTGCACATAACCGAAGCACAAATATTTGTGTTAGGTACGCCAAGCATACCCAATGTTTTCTCATATATATATATATAGTATAGTATATATCATATATAGATATATAGTATATAGTATATATATACTATGATATACTATATTATATATATATAATATACGATAAGAGAGCAGAGAGAGAGAGAGAGAGAGAGAGAGAGAGAAAGAGAGAGAAACATGGAGAACATTGGTACCAAGTTTCTCCATTAAACTTTGTTGTAACGTGCCCAGATCTGACCCCTACATCACGCCTCGAAGATAGAGCCTCAATCACTATTCACCTACTTTAAAAAAGATGTTCCATCTTCGAGGCGTGATGTAGGGGACAGATTTGACCACATCACTACCAAGTTCAATAAAAGAACAATATGAGCCACTAGATTTCAATCAATGGCTAAGATCATTGATAGGTTAATTAATTAAGAGAATAGTGGGCCCGAATTTCTTAAATCTTTCTGGCGATAATTGCGGGCACAGATTTTCCTTCCCTACTTTGCTTCGTCTGACCCCCCTTCCTTCTTCCTCTCCTCAGATGCTTCTAACATTGCATCGTAGTATCCATCAGTTTTCAATCATGGGATCGACAAAGCCTTCGGCTTGATTGGAAGAATACTTAGAGCAAGTGCAAACACTCCAGTTCCGAAATCACTGTTAGTTGTCCGCCCTTAATTCCTTGTTGAGAATACGTAAAGATCAAGATTTTTATCAACAAATGGGTTTCTTTTTTTAGGACTTTGACGCTGCTATCTAGTTGAAGGTTTTCAACAAGTTTGGACTGTCTGAGTTAACATCTCGCGTTGATCAATTGCTGGTGTCGAAGAGTCCAGACTTGCTTTTAGGGACTGTTTGGTTCGTTTTTTAACTCGGTGGAAAAGTTTTACACCGCCTCCACATCAGATTTTTCGTGGCCACGTAGGATATAAGCTTTCCGTCGGGTTTTTTTCCCATCTTTAGTTCGCTAGAGTTGAAGAAGGAAAACTCGGTAAAAATCGCCGCCACATCAGATTTTTTTCTCTCCCCCAATTCCTTCCTCAACCTCGTGAAATCGACGAAAACTGCAGCCACGTCAGTTTTTTACCATATAAACAAAAGTTTTTCCTTTTTTCCATGCGAACCAAACACAAAAAAAATAAATACATTGGTTTCCCACCATTTTTTTTTTTTTTTGCGCGAACCAAAGCGAAATAATCTATTTCTTAGAAAGGTTTAAAAAACTCAAAACTTGTGTTTTTTTATATGAAAATGTATTTCCCTATATCTAGGAAACGAACCAAACAGCCCCTCAGCATATATGTACACACACTATAATTATTCCTTCTTTTGTGACAATTGACGAAATTAATCATCAAATTTAGATAATTCATGCGTAATTTAAATTAGTTTTGCTTATAGAAGTATAGAGCAAAGGCTGTTCACAATTATAATCTCAATCGATTTAAAAAAAAAACACGCACGTCCCTTTAATACACCCGCTTTATATGACCATATTCTCGTTAAATGTTTTTAGATGAAAATCAAAAATAAATTTCCGTGTAGTTGAATTAGGGGAGACATAAATCTTTATATTATGTGGATGCTTTAGGAATTAAGACTAATGTCGTCTGACTCAAAAGGACACGACCGTCATTTGGGCCAGCCAATTAAGTCAAAAGCTACACTTTTTCTTTTCAAATCAATTTGGAGACTACGTAAAAAGTTGCGGGAGAGATAAAATAAGACTCTAGCCTTCGTGCATGGCGTAGGCAGGGTTTGCATATCAACAAAATTGGAACTTGTAGTCGCAAATTACTTTGAATATAAAAAAAAGCATGACAAAACTTCAAGGTAATGCTAGGATAAATTACAGATTTCCTGGAACTGAAGGAACCAAGAAACTCTTTTCCGAATAGAGTTTTCAAATTTCATGATTTCTCATTCACGCTTGGATGACCCCCCAATTCATCCATGAATGACCTCCTTACGTTTTATAATTGATTTTCAAAAAAAAAAAAAAAATCTTGCAAGTTGCAACCAAACACACCCTTACAAGCTCTAATTTCTTTCGTCAAAAATAATTGTTTTCACATCTTGCAAGTTGCAACCAAACACACCCTTACAAGCTCTAATTTCTTTCGTCAAAAATAATTGTTTTCAAACGGATCTTGCAGGATATGACAAGACCCTTACAAGCTCTAATTTCTTTCGTCAAAAATAATTGTTTTCAAACGGATCTTGCAGGATATGACAAGGCAAAATTTCAGCAAAGATTAGTCTTATGGGGTAAAAAAAATGAACTTTGGCAATACAAAACATTACCATCAATATTGAGGCATAATATGAAACCTGTTATAAAGGAGTTGCCCCACTAGACTACTACTCCCAAATTCCTTAACCTCCCGTCAATTATTTAAAAAAATAATAAGAAAAAAAAATATGCAGAAGCCAGAAGCATAATATACCTTTTGCAAAGTAAGCTGCACAAATTGTTTCGGACAATCAGAAGTTAGAAAGAAAACCGTAGACACATTAATATATGTAAATTTAAACTTCTCTTGAAGAGAGAATCTGACACAAATAGTACCTGTTGGCTACATTTGCAGAGCCTAGCAAAATTTCCAAAACTATATGGGTAATTATGCTAGCATAAAATTAATGCATCACGACATAATCACTTGATTTAAATATTAGCAACTATATAATGGATAAATGACAAAATGAAGGATCACAACATACCAAGAAATCCTTTTTTTAGAAGAAAAGAGGAAAGGTTACCTGATTAGTGATAGGGGTCAGTACTTCGAAACTGGAATCCTTAAACCAGAAATGAACCATAGAGATTACCATCCTTGATATTTTTCAGCTGGGGAATTTTGCTAGCAGTAACTTCTCTTATTGCTTCCTAAAGATGTTTATGTGAACCAAATCCTGTACATTAGAGCTGGTAAGCAGTTTCAAGAAATAAGATTCAAAGAAAAGCTTACACTTAATTATAATAACTTTAAACAAAATTAATTACTTGCCCTTACCTGAATATACCAAACAGTTTTTCAAATAGAGCATGGAGAGCATATCTTACTTATAAAATCATGAGTATGAAATTAATTTCATCAAGAAATTTACAAGCATTGAATGTATAGGCAAGAAGTGGTCCAAAATTTTTTATTCAACCCTATCGATATTTTAACTACAGAATAACAATGTAAAACTTTCATTTTCGTTCATTCTACATTCAACAACAAAAAGAGTTCCTCGCCGTTTGATATTGATAGGAGAAACAATTTAAGATGTACACAACAAAAATCAAAACCACATATTCAGAAATAATAACAATTACATGAATTTCTTATCAGAGACCTGAAAAGGAAGCATCAAAGGTGTGGGTTGGCAATTTAGTTCCTAGATTAGTTTGTTTAAGAAAATCTATGAGAACTTGTTGGGACACTACAAACTACAAAATTTTCAAGTCCCAAAAACTGCACACCTAAGTAATTGCAGATAAAACCACCCTCTACATGTTAGCCATGTCAAAGCCCAAGGCAATTAGTGTCCCAATGTGACCCCAAAAAAAGCCAATAACCCCTCTCCCCCTCGAATAAGGCTAGAAACAAGGAATCAAAGCTCCTCGGGCAAAAACCCCAGTCACTTGTATTTGTTTAGGTTGCTGAAGCTCTCAGGCCAAGGTGATGGCTTGGCCCCCTTACTAGTAAAAGGGTGAAGGATGGGAAACACTAAAAACCAGCACCCACGTTCTCCCTCTATCTTTCTCCCTTTATTTATTCAAACAAACCCCCCCTTGACAAAATGTAGTCTAGCCCCCCGAGGCCTTATTATATTCCCCCATGCTCCATAAATACTCTTCAAGCTCCATGTCTCTCTCCATCTCTCACTCGTTCCAGTCACAGTTTTCTTGTTTGTTCCTCTTAAATCCTAGACATCAAAGCTTATGTGATCATGGTATGTGTTTCAAAAACTTTAGATATCTCCATTCCAGAGGATGAACCTCAATTGGGTCTCAATGATTTTCCCGCTAATGCAGGGAATTAGGAAGCCAGCATGGTTAGAGGCTCTGGACACTCAGAAGTTCTTCATTGCTTGTTCCTTCCATGAGAATTTGAAGAAAAATGAGAAGAACATCTGTTGCTTGGATTGCTGCATTAGCATCTGCCCCCACTGTGTGCCAACTCACAGATACCATAGGCTAGTGCAGGTGAGACGATATGTTTATCATGATGTTGTGAGATTAGAAGACCTCGAGAAGCTCATTGACTGTTCTAATGTTCAGGTTAGTTTTGGTCATGGACAAAATTTTGAACTTATTCCAGTATAAAAGATTATATTATCCTGCTTAAAATAATTTCTCTTTTATGCAGTCATATACAATTAACAGCTCCAAGGTGGTCTTTCTTAAGAAACGTCCTCAGAGCAGGCAATTCAAGGGGTCAGGGAACATTTGTACCTCTTGTGAAAGGAGCCTTCAGGAGCCTTATGTTCATTGCTCCTTGGGGTGTAAGGTAATGAGTAATACGGTTTCAATTGTGTGTTTAGATGCAGTTTTATCCTACTAATGAGATATATCCTGAGTGTATGAAGTAGAGCACAGAGTACTTCATACTTATTCTTTACTCTATTATCTGCATACTACAGATATCATACAACGTAGTACATAAAATACTGCCTACATACTCTAGATATCCATAACTGGAGAAGGTAAACACAGCTCGTGCCAGTTTCTTCACCTCTGGAGCGATGGTACGTCCTAGTGGAGCCAAATATCCCACACCTCGCGATTGTACTTAACTGCACAATCATATAACAATTTAATCATGCACCACTTATATGCAAGAAAACCTCCAGTTCTTTAAATAGAATATCACCCGCTAAGAAATTTTCGCTAGGAATTCACAAAGAAAAAACTAACCTAATTTCCCAAAGAAAATCCAACCCATGGTTTTAGGATCAGTCACACAATGAAGGAAACATCAAAACACCTCTAAAGACTCTTTCCTCTTAATACACTATGAGTATTTCGAGTAAATTATCCAAGTGACCAAACTTTTGTTCCTTTTAGGTGGATTATCTATTGAGGCACAAAAAGGACATCTCCCCGTACCTGAAGACATGCGAGTCTCTACAATTGAGCCCAGATTTCTTCATCCCTAATGATGCATACAGTGGAGATGATGAGGCCAATGAGACAACTCATTCAACCATTGTAGAAGGCGATGAGCCTCTGGGCTCATCAGACTCAGAGAATTTCAGCATGCCATGCACTGGGTTCACGCGCAAGAAGCGGAGTGGGCTCTACTTCTTTGCAAGGTCAACGAGCAGTGTTTCTGATGAGGACATGGCCACAAACATGAGCAGAAGGAAAGGCAAACCACATAGATCTCCTTTGTGTTAGGCTGATAATCTTGACCGCTCCTTTGTCCCCCTCCCTATTAAAGTATCAGGGTTATTGGATTTTTTGACTTAATGGTTCTCTTTTCCAACCTTTTGATGTACATTTTTCTGAGAATTCCCTAGTCAATTCTTCAACTTAGTCATGACTGAGGGATTCTTGTTCATCATGCAGCAAATAAAATCTTGGTGTGCATTTCTCAGAATAAAAGTAGCCTTTTTTCACCTGGAAAATACTAATGATAGCAAATAAACTTCAGTGGTTTTCAAGCAATTTGATATTACAGAAATTGCTGAGTAAACAAAAATTTGATAAAGTTGATGATTCTAGAGTAAATAATATATGAACGTGAACGTGATGAAGTATACAATTGCACAATGATGTTCTCAAAGTTAATCTAATTGAAATAAACTGACAGCTTATCCAGAGAGTTAATAAGCAGACAGAAGCTTTCAACAACATAAACAAACCTTTATAAGTCAGTTGATTTTCCAATAAATTTAAGTATTTACGCTATGGACCATACCATATATCTTTAGCACGTCTGTCATCCTGGTCTGCAACTGTTTATCCCCAGAATACCAGATCTAATAAATCACGGTAAAAAAGTTAAGGTTCTCAGAGTAAATAATATACAATGGTGAAGAGGACATAGTTAAGTGGCAGTAATATGCTCTGTAAGTTCATCCAATTTAAGTAAATTTGTGGCAGATCATTTAAGTAAATTTGTGGCGGATCAAATGAATTTATAATTGAAAGAAATTTCAGAATCTCAATGAAATTCATTGACGACAATGATAAAGTTTCATTATTTAGAATGAGGGAACAAAATTTATGTGCAGCCTTTTTTAAGACCGTGCACTTCCTCAACAAAGGCAATAGAATAAACTGATGTGGCCCATTATGTTTGCCAATTGAATCAACTAGCAGGAAGCAATATTGAAATTTATAAAAATATATGCCACTAGTTGATGTTTCCACCAGCAAGAAAAACTTAAATACAACTATGCAATGGACCTTTTTATTGAACTTCTTTGTTATCTTAGCACCTCTTTCATACCATTATGTACCAAAGGAAGCTGAATTAATGATTCACGGTAAGCAGACCCTTGATTTAGAAAACATTCAATTAAACTAAGAAATATTTCTCACAATCATGTATCAGTATCACAGTGTTTACCCTGTGAAGTTGCGAGCCAGTGCCCAGAATCTTTTACTTAATAAGGTCAGTATTTTAATCCATACATGATAGAGAAACCAAACCAACCATTTTAGTTCATATAGACAATGCTTCGTCAGTATTGGTTGTTAATTACTAGTTTACAGGAGAGTGCAAGGGACGACGACCTCAAATACTAAAGGTATCATGTTCTGTTACCACTCTATAAACTTGAAAAGGTAATAAACTGGAAGTACTACAAGCTAATGAGCAAAGGCTTAGTCAGATCATCTCGAGATTAGGACATGAAATCAATTGTTTTCTTCTTTCAAAAACTTTGGGAACAGAGAGAGAGAGAGAGAGAGAGAGAGAGAGAGAGAGAGAAACGAGGGCATGATCTGTCTTGTGCCTTGTGATCATATGATTTGGGGCAGCAACTCACAGCTGGAAAGCTTTGGGAGGAGCACTCATAAGCGTCGGGGTTATGGTTTTATTATATCTAAACTAGTGCTGTTGGATCCTTAAATCATTGTCACCCTCATATGACAAGGATCCAAAAACAATTGAAGGGAGTGCCTGTCTTTGACTTTGACTGGAAACACACTCTTTGTTATGTTGAACTGTGGCACAAATTGCCATTATAAAGGTAATCAGCATTTGTTACAATGTAAAAGATTATTGTAATGACTAATATTAGTTATTATCGCATACATTTGCACATAGATGGAATTCTAAATTAAATCCTGTCATGCCTCAAAGCGAGGTGGTCACCACCACCTCAAGAGAATTGCAAGAGCAGCCCCTAGAACAAAATCTGCATCTGCAGAAGATAAAATTCTGCAGAAGTATGTAAGCACAAAGGCCAAAATTATTCTTTAATTTTCAAATGATAATAACAAATTTCATAAAAGGTGAAGATAGTAAGTCCTATTAAGCAAAGATATAGTAAGTCCTATCAACCAAAGAGGAAATTTATTAAGTGAAAGTGATGGAAAGTCCCACTGACCAGAATAAGTGGGATCCAAGCAAGTATACTTCACATCTGCCAGTTAATTAAACTTTAAAACACCCTGCCTAATCTAAAAAATGTGAGAGGTAGTAATAAGATGGGGCACTTTGCCTACGTAGCCAACTTATGAGAATGGTTTGGAGGGCAATACAGGTCCCACAAACAAGAATACAACATCTACCATTCAGCTCTATAAAGGGATATATCCTTGTTTTATTTGCAATTTTGCTGCCTCAAATTATGTTCCTATTAGGTCTAGCGTAGTCCTTGTGCACATCATACATGTCCAAACTTTTTCAATCCATTGCCATAAGTTATTCTCAATTCAAGCAATCTCTCACTCTATCTGACTCACTCGCTTCTTATCCTACCTTTTAGAATATTGTGGCTCATTTATCTCACCATTCTCATCTCAGCAATGTCCGTTTTTAGAAATATTATTTCTTTTGGACAACATGCTAGTCCTTCAGAAATCAGAATACTGAAACCACAAGTTCCCTCTTTTGAAGTTTCCCTTCCAGACCAGTGGACTATCCTTACCTTTCTAAACCTTCATTAGTCAAACGTGTAAGCTGTGACATAAAAGAGAAAGTATAGCTCGCTCAGAAGTCAGAAAAGACAAGAAAAAGTATTTTAAAAAATAAAATATGGCATGATTTGCGGGGCCAACCCTCTTTTCATGGAAAGAGAGGACCAATGTGAAAGCAACTTACCTTCCAGAAATATTCTGAAAGTGTTCCACTTTATTCCTCAACCCAGTGTCCACCTTAAGAAGATCACGGAACAATATGCAGTTGTTTCCATTGGTGGTCTGTGACAAAAGGTAGATCACAATACGACGAGTGTTAGAATAACGCAAATGAAGGAAAATCCAGATTGCATTTGATCACCTAAAAGTTGAATTGAAATAGTACTAAAAACAAAAAAGATACATTGCCTTTACTTCTCACGTTTATGCTTTAATTCTCCATTCAGTAACCAAGCAAGCAGAGGCATATGGAAAGCCTAGTTTCCTCTTTTCCCTCCTGGTCTTTCATAACTTAACATAGGATCAGTGAGTATAAATACACTTCTATGCAGTATAGGATGATATGCAATCATTGTTTTGTGACTGGATGTATCAAAAAGTGGCTGTTCCCTCATCAGCAACATGTTTTGGGTAAATAATTCTAATTGGTGCACTCAGTAACACAAGCCATGCAAATGGTAGCTAGTTGGTTTTGCCTCTCTCCACCAACTGAGCTTACAAACCTCAGACTCGAGCTCTTGAAACCATAGGCATTTTACTATAACTTCTTTATAAAAAGAATTAGGTAGAATGATGTCATAACAATTAAATGATATTGTATGAATCCCCAACGTTTTCCAGAAATTTAATGTAGATTCCTCTGAACTAATTCCCAAAACCATATATGGTACCACACTTCAACTGTAACTTCTTTATACAGGTAATTACAAAGAATGATCCGGTAAATTTTGGTATATAGTAGAATTTTCACTATAGTGTCATGGCTTTTGGGCCGAGAACATTATGAAAGCCCTTTGTACTTTGCTCGTGTAATTGATGAGGCCACAAGACTTGCATAGGTCCTCAATCTCCTTCTCCGTAAAATAAGCATAGCTGTTGGTTACTTGACCAAAGAACTGAAAGGGGATTATTATTTGTCAGCTTTCTCCAATATTCCCGCCAAAAAAGCAATTTATAAGCAGTTTGTAAAAATGGATCACCTGTCTGAGAGGCCTCGATGATTCAGAAGGGAAGGGGGTATTCAAGGGAGATGATAGAAATGTAGTTGCTACAAAGACACCACCACTTCGCAATATACGACTTACTTCAGCAACCTAATAAATATGATGGAGATCATCAGCTATTGCAAAGAAGCAATATGCAAATGAAAATAGATTATGTGAAAAAAAACTACAGAAGGATTTTTCAAGCAAGTACCAAAGCATATATAGAAGTGAAAATCAACTAGCAGAAGTTTTAACAATGGTTGGAGAAAAGCACCCCTTAATAACTCATACTAGTAAACGGGTGAGATATAAACTCCATTCTGTTCAATACAGGAAATACTAAAGCAATGCATGATCATCCCATATTTGACCACACAGTACAATAATACAATTTGGAACCCAAACATGAAGCGTACATTTCAATATTAGAGCTCTAAATTCAACCAATCCAAATGACAATGAAGGCGAAGATTACATGTATGTTGCTAATCTTAAAGTTCTAAGGAGATGTATCACTAACTTCCGTTAACATGTCTGACAGACGGTTGCTATCATATGCTTTGTGAACTTTGTACAAAATGCCAGTAAATAATTTGAAGACAAAAGTAAATAAATATAATCTTTGGTACAATGAAGTTAGCCACATTGCCAGATAAGTTTATGTTATGTATTTAAACCCTAACTGTCCTGTGGAAAATCCCTCTCTTGTCCATAATTTTGCTCAGCAATAATTCAGTGCCAGAGAGGATTAACTTGAAAAGACGGTTACAAAATTTGACAAGACATAGAGCCTTTTAACATATAGCTCTCCTCCATAGTTAAACCTTCTGAGAAAAGGTTTTGATGTAGGTGAAATGAATAGGAGAGAACAATGTTAGAAGGATTTTATGTCAAATCCAAATTAGGTGATTCCGGATTTAGATTCTTATAAATATTCAATGGCGGTATCAATTGTAATGGTAAGTGCAGCATGGAAAGATGTAAAATATGCAAGTTTGAAGGCTCATTAAGCAACACCAGGCCAAGAACCTAAAGACCGTCTAAACTAGGTAGGCCAGCAGGGCATTTGCATCAACCTCCCACTAGCAGTAACTTGGCAGTGTTATGTTATGTATCCATTAATTAAAGCAAATGTAATGTACCATTATAAACTTCAAAGGGAAGTTTTAGATTATATACAAGTATCTTCCAGAATGACTCGTGTGGTGGTCATTATAAACCATAATGAAAGCCAACAGATGGAAAATTATGATTAAAGAATTAGGATATGATAGGATCATGAACCATTCATCAAAATCTGAAAACTAATTCGAACCAAATGTCGAGAGGAGCCACAGTGTCAACTCGCAAATTGTAGCTTCCAGAAAATGTGATTAGCTCTCCACACAATTATTTGAGGATCTTTGAGAGTTGAGCCAAATGAAGATTACCGCATTGGAAGGAGATGGCCAACAGTGTAGAGCAGCACCAGCATGAACAGCATCAATTGAACCTGATGCAAATGGAAGCCTTGAAACATCTGCCCTTACAAGAGCAAGGTTTCTGTAAATTGCAAATATAAACATCATAACCGTAAGAGTCTACTTCAATAACAGATTTGCTAAAACTTGAGTTTTAAACTACAGATAGCGGCAACATAAACAGAAGGGAGACAGTTGCCTTTTGTCAAATACATGGGTAAGGAAGGGGAAAACAAAGAGAAAATCTAATCCTGCAACTGAAAGACGTACGGGTGGAACTACACAAGAGATATGTTTTGTTTCATCACAAAATATACAAAACCCACGAACTTCAAATACTTAAACAAAGCACACAGTCGTGAAGTATGGTGTTTATATTTGCAATTTACAGAAACCTTGCTCTTGTAAGAGCAGATGTTTCAAGGCTTCCATTTGCATCAGGTTCAATTGATGCTGTTCATGGGCATACGGACACTAAAGATATATGTTCTGTTTTATGTGTGATACATGACTTGATTCCTAACAGGTTTTATTTTTCATGCTCCACTTTTGTTTTCTTCTTTTCTTTGGCAAAGGGACATTGACCCAAAAAAATCATCGCTAAACTGAATCTTTTCAATCGGCACCTTTAATTGATAGAAAGCTTGTTGAGTAAACATGCCCCCTGAGTTGCACTGTTACAGGTACTGGAAATGGATACTTTACATCATGGGCATACGGATAGACCGAATTTTTCAAACACATGATAGGAATAATTACAATAATGGATAATAAATGCAAATATTATAGAAAGCTAAGGTGTCGGACTAACACCTATGCAGATTTCTTTCTTCGTTAAGTCGTGGGGAAGAGGTTTTACTAAAAGTCTGAGGAGGTAGAGGAGATGTTCATAGTTGGAAGCTGGAGGAGTTTGGAGGAGGTTGGAGGAGGTAGAGGCTGCAATAGAGGAGATCACGATCAAGGCCTAAAGAGTGCAATCCACGCGAGCAGCACACGCTTCCCTAGGTGCTCCCATAATCCATGTGTCAGCCTAAGAACCACGTAGCCACTAGGCGCTAAGCAGGCAACCTAGGTACATCCTAGGCCTAGGCGGACGTCTAGGTGGACTAAGCAGAGGCTTTTTAAAACATTTGAAGAATATTGCTGGATAAAGCAATGAGAAAATTGCACATAACAATGACAAGAAGGCTTTTATGCCATATTTTTAGGGTTGGCTACGTGTCTCTTCTATTCAGCTCTGGCAAGGGTTACCTCTCCATTAACCTAATCACTAATCATAAAATTGTATCTGAAATTGATATTATACATCTCTAGTAAAGAGTTGTAAGTCTGCAACAGTTGAAAAGATACAATAGTATAGATAATATAAGAGGCTTCGACATTAGGAAAGTGGACAAATCATGTAATTATGAGAAGTCAAATAACATTGTGAGCCTATAGTTCACGTTACATCTCGGTTAGTGTTTGATATGTCTGGAGACAAGAAAGTTTACAACTAATATTGTCATTTCATATAGAAATGCATTGATCATTGATTCAACTATTATATCGCTCTTTCGTGACAAACATAGAAAGTTAACAGATGTAAGTAAGAAGCGCCTTTCAGGGCCATTATTGGCCAGTTATAATACAAACAAAACTTGAAGGTGGCATGTGACAGAGGTATGTGCTGGGACTTCATGACCATGTGCTTTGTTTAAGTATTTAAAGCTCGTGGGTTTTGTATATTTTGTGATCAAACAAGGAACGTTCAGAGAAAACTGGAGATCTCAGTCCTTGTTTCTAACAATTACGTTAAAGGGAAGGTCATGCTCCTTCAACAAGTAATTAAAGTAACATTTTATATTTGGATGTGCTTTAGAGATACGGGTGAGTTCATGTCAGGCTTTCTTTTCCTAATGAATAGTTAACCCCACGCATAACCCTTTCGGGCTAGAGGGTCAGCCAGATATGCGCACTTTGCTTCACCCTTCTTGAAACTTTAGATTTATCTTTTCTAGTATCATAGATGATAGCATGCAATTGGAAAAAAGCACCCAACAGCTTAGATTTATCTTTTCTAGTAATCACTATCAAGGATCTAAACTGCTGCACGATTGGAGTATTATCAGGAACAAATTACTATTACTATCAAATTAATTGAAACTCATTAAACCACTTACGTCGTTAAAAGCATGTCATCTTGCTTGATGAACTCATAGCATTGCCGAAGCATATTCTCAGAAAAGTCTAATGCTACAACAGCAGAATACGATCCAGATGCTGCAAATTTTCTTGAAAACAAGCCACTCCCACAGCTCACATCTACAAGAAAACCACCCGCCACAGGCTTGAAATAATCTTGAGCCATTTCAAACTGTCAAGAGTTAAAAACAATCAAAATATAGGGAGATGTGGCTCTACATGAATATTTATTAATCAGTTAAAATAAACATAACTCCTCCTATATATATCACGAAATTAGCATTGTTTTTCATAAAATGGATCTCAAAATTTGTATTGATTAAATTGTTTGTTACAAATCAAAATCGACTTTACACAGAAGAGAAGAGAATGAATCTAATCTTTCCTTGTTTAACGTGGGTTCTTGGTAGCGATAGGATACCTCCCTCGATGCTCGAGTCGAGTTTGCTTCCCTTTGACGATTTGAACGAGATTTTGAATCAAACTTCAACGTGTAGTAGAAGTTTGGTAGAAGAGTTTGATCACCCAAGCTTGAATATCAAAGCCGAATGCACAAGAATGCAAGAGTTCGGTTTTTTTTAATCTCCCTCAAAAGTTCTGCAGCCAAAAAGTCAAGAGCCCAAAAAGAGTCCGAAGATCTAGATACCCTTCTCTGTAGCCGAATATGGCTATTTATAAAGAAGGATGGTTGTAACCAACCCTTTAGATTGTGGGAAGTGGGTGTAACCACCTCCACAATTCAAGTAAGTGCTTTTTTAACCACTCAGGCGAGCTAAGCGAACCTGGCAAGCTTGCAGGAAAAGTTGGCGAGCCTGGCGAGCTTGCAAACGAGCTAGGCGAATAGGCGAGGTTGACAGGCGAACCCCCCTTAAGCGTTCAGAAGAGCTTAAACCCTGTTGGCGAGCTTGGATCGTGCTGGCAAACCTCCTACACGCGAGCATGGCTTGCGCGGGCGAGCTAAGCATTCAAGCGAGCTTAACTCGTGCGGACGAGCTTAGCTAACTCACGAGCTAGCGATCTGAGCATTCAGGCGAGCTTAGGGGTGGAAATGAACCAAATAATTAACAAATAGTTCGATAATTGTTCGAATAAGTATTCGCTCATATTCGATTCGGTAGTTCATTTACCACTAAACAAATATTTTTTTGTATTCGAGTTTACTAACGAATAGAATTTAACCAGGTGTATATTCGTTCGTTTGTCTGTTAAATATTCGTTTAAATTTTGATCATAACTTATTACTTGTATTATTGCACATATGGTGTCATATTTTTAACCAACATACAATTTCTACTTAAGTTTTATATACTGATTTTAAGAATTAAATAATCTTAAATATGTTTTCTAATTAAAAATTTGATTTAAATATATATATATATATCATATATTATAAAGGAATAAATTTTATTTATGAATTCTAATACTATTTGAAAATAGAATTCTTTAGCGGAATAAATATACTTTGAAATTCGATAAGTATTCGTGAATATTCATGAATATTTATCAAATACCAAGTATTCGAGTTCGGATTCGAAAAACTAGATATATGAATATTAGAGTCCACATTCGAATTCGATAATTTTAAACAAATACAAATACGAACACCTTAGTATTCGATTCGATTCGATCGTTTACCACCCCTAGCTCAGATCTTTTTAGGCGAAGCCTAATGTTCAGGCAAACTTCACTTCGCCTACGAAATCCAGCATTCAAGCGAACTTGACTTGGCCCATTTGATTCAGGAGAACAAGCCATAATGAGCTTTGTTCCTACGAGCTTAGACGCTCAGGCGGAGTTATACAGGCGAACTCCTAATTTTTGGTATAAAGGTAATTTTATTTACCTACAAACCCTCTTTAAAGTTTTCAGACCGAATCAGGTTGCATAGGGTCTAAAATACTTTGAATGAAAAATGATCATCGTTCATTGGTTCAGGCGAAGTTAGGCACCTTACTGGCGAACTCGATCACTTTAGTTAAGTTGAGCTCTTTAGGCAAGCTCAATGAATTTAGGCAAGCTAAGTGTTCAGGCAAACTTAGCATTGTAGGCGAGTTTGAGTCTGCAGGCGAGTTAGACAACTGCAGGCGATCTTCAAGCAATGGTAGGCGAGCCACGTGCTAACAGGCGAGCCTCGGAGTGTACCTGGTAAGCGGTGATGGTGTGTCAGGTTTCATTAAATGCGACCTGACTGGCGTTCTCGTTTTCACACGCTCGATCTGAGCCGTTGCGTCGTTTGGATCTCTAATCTCAGTCGTTGTTTCAATGAGAAACCATGGCCATTTATTTTAAAAAAATTAGATCTCAACTGCTGATTTGAATCCGAAGCGTCTCATCGCTTGGATGATGGATCTGAGCCGTCGGATCTGAGAATTAATCTCAACCGTTCATTTCGAACAGTCGGATACGAACCGTTCTTCTCGATCTGAACCGTCGCCTCGGTTGAGATATCAAATCTCAACCGTCGATTCATGGCTATATAAAGGCGTCGTACTCTTCCTTGAAAAAATTCTGCAAACTCAGAATTTCTTTCGCTCAAGCTTTCTGAGAGAAGAGATCTTCTTTTCTCAGCGCACTTTCTGATTTCGACATGGCACCAAGAACTAAGTCACTCGCCTCAAAAGAAAAGGGGAAGGCCTCCACTTCCACCGCCTCCGGAGTCATTCCCATTGTCTCCGGTGTGACACCATCATCTTCAAGTAGGTTGTAAGGACCCGTGGACCATTCAGAGAAGATGAACATGCGTTTGGGTGGGTTGCTTGACAACCCATCGAGCAACCTCTTAGCTTACATTCTTGGCCTTTTGATCGACATCAATTGGCTTGGGGGAATTAGAACCCCCATTGATTGCTCGGGTAGAGCTTTCAGGCTCATTAGCCTTAGCCGGTTGGGGCTGAGCCACACGCACCACTTTGCGGCACTTATGTGACGTCTTGCCACTAGAGGAAACCGAAGACAAGTATTCTTCGTACTTCGCTTGATCGAACTCAATGACGAAGGACTCAACAATTGTCCCTGCAGCAATCTCGTCAAATTGCGTCACCACCATCTCATTTGAAAGAATGGTCTCTCCCACTGTGGTCGCCATTATCTGTTTGTTGTAAAATGGATCTTAAAATTTGTATTGATTAAATTGTTTGTTACAAATCGAAATCGATTTTACACAGAAGCGAAGAGAATGAATCTAATCTCTCCTTGTTTAACGTGGGTTCTTGATAGCGATAGGATGTCTCCCTCGATGCTCGAGTCGAGTTGGTTTCCCTTTGACGATTTGAACGAAATTACGAATCTAACTTCAGCGTGTAATAGAAGTTTGGTAGAAGAGTTTGATTACCTAAGCTTGAATATCAAAGCCGAATGCACAAGAATGCAATAGTTCGGTTCTTTTGAATCTCCCTCAAAAGTTCCGCAGCTAAAAAGTCAAAAGCCCAAAAAGAGTTTGAAGATCTAGATCCCCTTCTCTGTAGCCGAATATGACTATTTATAGAGAATGATGGTTGTAACCAACCACTTAAATCATGAGAAGTGGGCGTAACCACCTCCACAATTCAAGTAAGTGTTTTTTAACCGCTCAGGCAAGCTAGGCGAGCTCGTAGGTGAGCTAAGCGAGCCTGGCGAGTTTCAGGCGAAGTTGACAAGCCTGGCGAGTTTGCATGCGAGCTAGGCGAACAGGCGAGGTTGACAGGCGAACCCCCCTTAAGCGTTCAGGCGAGCTTAAACCTTGTTTGCGAGCTTGGATCGTGCGGGCGAACCTCCTACAGGCGAGCTTGTCTTGCGCGGGCGAGCTAAGCATTCAAGCAAGCTTAACTCGTGCTGGCGAGCTTAGCTAACTCGCGATCTAGCGAACTGAGCATTCAAGCGAGCTCAGTTCTTTTTAGGCGAAGCCCAATGTTCAGGCGAACTTCGCTTCGCCTGCGAAGTCCAGCATTCAGGCGAACTTGACTTGGCCCATTTGATTCAGACAAACAAGCCAGAATGAGCTTTGTTCCTGCGAGCTTAGACGCTCAGGCGGAGTTATATAGGCTAACTCCTGATTTTTGGTATAAACGCAATTTTATTTGCCTACAAGCATAAAACAGATATGTAGAATCTTTCGATTCGATGTAGTAAATTCACAAAGAAGTTGCAATAATGCACAGGAAAGGAAAGGCATGATATTTTTAGCTATAATCGACAGGGAAATAAAGATATGCGGGGAAAATACCTCTTCATCACGACCAGGGAAGCCACTCCGATTGAAATTCTGACGCCATCCTCTTTCATACAGAAATGATACAAGTGGGCTCCTAGAAAGGAATGAAAGCAAACTATAAGAAAACAGAACAGTTTAATGTCTTCACAAACAATTAATTCCAAAAGAAGGTGTCATCTGGACAGTATGAAAAGTATGATTCAGACCTAAGCGGTTAATGAAAAGAATTTTGTAAGCAATCACCCGCTTTCATTGGAAAACTCTACTAACAATCGAACATGTAACTGTTATGAAATTTATATGTTAAACAAATTAAGTTTTCACAGGTTAATAGATCACTGAATAACGTACAGAGATCAACACCCTGGTGCAGTCAAAATATTCAAATGAGATGAATTGCAAAAGCATGCTTTAGCATGAAGATGTGTATGGCATTGAACCTTCTCAGGTATTTAACATTTAGGCGTTTATTATTGCAAACTGACAACTTAAGCTAGAATCAACAAACCCTTTAAGGAAAATACAGTGAAATCTGTTGTTTACATCATTTTGGTTGCACTATGCCCTGCATAGGGTTTATTGATATCAACATATTTCAAAAGGTCTGTGAAATTGTTCACACAACCAGAGCTTGAGAGTTTTGTACACTTCGATTAGTACTTCATACTTTTACTTATTTTTGAAACTGACACAAGACACTTATTTAAGGCTATTTTTGGCATTTTATTCCAAGGAACAGTTAGCGCTTTTGCTCAACCTCAATTTGTTCGCATAGGAACACCATCCACTGGGAAAAAGATTCGAACAAAACTTGCCAGTTATTGTGTCCTCTAGATAATTTGGCATTGGTCTAAAGGTAAAAAAAATGTACGGTGTCTCAACAACATCAATAGCAAAGCCTTTATCCCAAATTTTTGGGGTCGGCCATATGAATCCCATTCTTCCATGCAATTTTTGTCAAGGACTATCTCCTCAACTAAGTTAATCATTATCCTATACTTTTTAATTGCTTATAACCAAGTTCTCCTAGGGTTACTTTTAGTCCTCAAACATTATGTTTTAAGGAATCTGGGAGTATAATACAATGTGCAACCCAATGCTGAACCCAATAAAGAAGAAACAAATTGCTAGTCCTTGGAGAAAAGGAATTCAAACGAAATCAAATAGGAGCATAGAAAGACCAGTCAGTACACCGAATTTCTTAAATGTTGCCGCAAACATAAAATCAAGCCGCCATCAGAAAAAAGTCATGAATATTAATATTCAAATTAATGTTATACCGAAAGAGCTCAGTTCGGGCAGGCTTCAATTCATTGTATTCCGTCGTTCCTGCAGTAACAGTGAGATCGAGATAGACATCCTTACTGGAGAATGACTTGTCGCATTTCTGGCACTTGAATCCAGATCTATAAATTGATGCCCTGCGAACCATGAAACGAAATGTTTTGGCACAAAAACTAACAATTTATTGCATATATTCCAACCATAACACAAATTTACTTACAAGTTTAGACCTGGAGGACCTTTCCTTATCAGTGGTTCATAGCAAATGGGACATGAGAAAAAGTCAAGTTCTGTAGAATCATTATGTGGAACTCTGGCCTCCTAGAGAAGGGACATTCCATAGAACATATCAAACATATAATATATACATTAACAAGACCATATAACTATAATAAAAATATATATAACATATAGGTTACTGTATGGAGCAGGTTGTGGAAGAGAAGCCAGGCACGGGTACATAGTTTCAGAAAACCAAGTTACCCAGTGATCTCCAAATGAATACTGACGCATACAGATGGGACCTGTTTCTATATGGGAACTGTACAGCAATTTCACCGTGAAATTTCCTAGCTGTTCAGATTCCTTGTTCTTTCATCAGGGACAGTGTGGTGTACATAATGGAAGGCGAGGTGGAGATTGAGCAACTGCAACATGTGCAAAGCAGGGGTGATTCATTGGATGCACCTATTTTTGCACATCAAGATAAAATGTAGGATTGTTTAAGATCCAACGGAACGCGTTGCTTACTTCCGCTATGAGCTAAAGTTTTGATCAGTGACGAGAAAAAAATGAAGTAGACAGATTCAATTACTGCCCCTGAACACATCCAAGGTTTGAGCCAATCCAGTAAGTACAAGATTGCCACTACCATAAATGATGAAAAACCTATGTAATTCCAAAAGAAACCCTAAATTTTAGGTCAGTAGCTATTTAGTGCAAATTAAGAATTAGGTCAGAGAGAACAATGGAAAATCCACAAGCGATTCAGCACTATGAAGTCAAGTGAGAAAAATGTCAATAAACAATAGATCGAACATATGTAATTGAGGAAGTAAACCACTAAACAGCATTTAGATCATAAAGTAGACATTTACACGTCGAATTAGGAATTCATAAATAATGATGGAAACCCTAGGCAACAATTAGGAAAAGGAATTACCACAGGCTCCAGCGCAAGAGCATCGGCACTTGCTCGGACTTTGCGATCGGATCGCCGACGATTGCCGAGTTGATAGCGGGAGCGAGAGCCGAAGGAATCCGACGGTAGAGTGTGAATCTTGAAGGCCACGTATCGGTGGACCGCAGTGACGGCGGCGGGGGGGCAAACCCGTTCATAATTTTTTTTCTAAAATAGAACCCCTTGAGTTTTTTTTACAAAAATAGATTAATTTTGTCTTAATCCGGTTTCTAAATAGTCAGGGTTGTCAACCCCGACTATTTAGTGCATAGAATGTTAGAATTTATGATTATAATTAGGGGTTTACAACCTCCTAAATAGGAACTCAAGGGGATCTATTTTTAGAAAAAAATTATGAATGGGTTTATTTAGAAAGTTTCTTCAACTAGTTTTATACTCGCTTCATACTGCCGGTTTTTTTTCTACCAGTTTTTATGCACGTGTAATGCACGTGGTTAAATGTTAAAAGATTTGTGGACTAATATTGAAAAAGCCCTATTATTAAATGTCAAAAGATTTGTGGGAAATTTTTAAATCTTTAAAGAAATTATTTATATTTTTTGTATTTTTTAGGAACCTACTTGTAGTTTTTGAAATTTTTAAGGAGGTAGCGTGTAAATTTTGAATTTTTAAAGGAGTTGTTAGTAAGTTTTAGATTTTAAAGGATTCATTTATAATTTCATATTTTTTATAGGGGTGTTTGTGATTTTTGCTTTTTTAGGTATTTGTAATTTTTCACATTTTTCAAGGGATAGTGTCCAATTTTTTCATAGAAAAGTGAAAAAAGAATCAAGAATACTATCATTTAACTTTTAATAGGGGTAATTATATGTCACCAGACACTTTTAAGTACTTCCCAATACTCTGCTAGCTACATAATCATTTAACATCATAAATAAATCACAAGCAACCAAAATATATAAATAATGTTTTTATTTATTTATCACAAAGAGGTTTCTTGTTCATTTGTAGTCTTGTATAGATGATGTTAAGTTAGGGGTTTCTAGAAAAGTTTTGAAAAGTTTAGGGGCTTTCATGGAAAATACCCTTAAGTTTTAGGATGTTATATACAATTTACTCTTTAAAACTGAGAGGGAAATCTCTTTACTTGTCTTGTGGCATGCATATAACACTTTCCAAAATCAAGATATAGGATTCAAAATATTCTTTTTTAATTTTTTTAAACGCATATATTGGTTCTACATGCATATGATAATCGAATAATATACATGTGTATTGATTAAACAATCTAATCTAATCTAATAAGAAGAAAATAATAAAGGCACATACCTGTTGAAGGAGATAAGAGTGCTGTGAAAATTATTACAATTTCTTGATCTAAAAAAAGATGAAACATACAAACATACAATATAATTAATTACCTTAAAATAATCTAATCTAAACTAATAAGAAGAAAATAACAAAGACACATACCTATTGAGGGAGACGAAAGTGCTATGGAAATAATTGTAATTTCTTGGATTATATATATTGGTACATTATATTGAATGTGAAAGGATAACAGTTATAAATAGAGTACTATTTAGATAATAATATTCAACAAGCTTAATGAGGGCTTAATTAATTTGATTGCATATATGTTCACGGGTGCAAGATGAACAATATATATAAGGGGAATTTTTTATTAGAGGTTAGTTAAATGGAAGCGGGATTAGATAATTGTGGTTTATGGATTAGTATTTGAATTCCAAGTATATTTTTGTCTACCAAAATATTTTCACGAACTCGTGCATATACATATAACACTGTCAATAATCAAGATATAGGATTTAAAAATATTACTTAAATTTTTTTTAAACGCATATATTGGTTCTACATGCATATGATAATTGAATAATATATATGCATATTGATTAAACAATCTAATTTAATCTAATAAGAAGAAAATAACAAAGACACGTACCTGTTGAAGGAGATGAAAGTAACGTGAAAATTGTTACAATTTCTTGATCTTAAAAAAGATAAAATATACAAACATACAATATAATTAATTACCTTAAAATAATCTAATCTAGTCTAATAAGAAAAAAATAACAAAGACACATACTTATTGAAGGAGGCGAATGTGCTTAGAAAATTATTGTAATTTATTGGTTTATATATATTGATACGTTATGTTACATGTGAGAGGATAACAATTATAAATAGAGTTTTATTTAAATAATAATATTCAACAAGCTTAATTAGGGCTTACTTAATTTGTTTGCATTTATGTTTACTGGTGCAAGATGAGCAATATATATAAGGTACGTGGTCTATTAAAGAATTCTATGATAATAGTAACTCTACAATGATATAACAAACAAATCCAACTCTGAAGGGTTAACATGCAAAAATGGCTATAACAATTCAAAAATAAAAATAATAAAAAAATCTCGTCAAAGTATGAGATAATTGAATAATATACATAATGAACAAATCCAACTCCTACTTAAAAGATAAAACAAATTCATAAAGACTATTAAATTGAATTGATCTAAAATTCTCCTAGCATTAGGATTAAGTAAACATGAAAATAGCTAGATATGAAGGGCTTACATGCAAAAGTGGCTACAACAGTTCAAAAAAAAATCTCGCCAAAGTATGAGATAATTGAATAATATACATGCATATTATATATCAAAAGTCAGTCAGTAAACGGAAATTTTGATTTTGATTGGAGGTTAGTTAAAAGGAAGCGGGATTAGATAATTTAGGTCTATGGGTTAGTATTTGAGTTTTAAGGGTATTTTTATCTACCAAAAGATTTTTCCGAACTCGTGTTTTTAAAGGGAGTATGATATGATATATATCAGTCAAGGATTCTCTAAACTATTCGCCCCGTATATTTATAATGTATATGAAAGATTAAGAATGAAAAAGAATATTTTCACTATAGCATAATATAGAAAGGCATCGGCGTGACGATATTTTCTTTTGCAACACAAACGCACTATTTTATACCTATTCGCTATGTGTTGTACGTCATGAAGAACCCCTATCCGTCAATAACCAAGCATAGTTTTCTATTCATTTTTATTTTGGCAATCTAGTAAGGGGTACTCGAAGGATACAATTATTTTACAACAGCAACTCTCAAATAACATTATGTATAATTTATAAATATATGTGTATGCACCAAACCTCATAAGACCATCTCCAATAGGGGACAATTCAAATTCACTTTATTCCCTTCCACATAACCTGCCACATCATCAAATGTCTCCACTATCACATACACTCCACAATAGAGGATAATTTAGGAAATAATTCATTTTTCTATCTCTCCTCATCACTCCCCATCATGTATTTTATTATACTAGTTTGATTGCACGTGCAATGCACGTGGTTTTTTTTTTAATTTATAATTTTATTTACATAGTTTTGTTATAAAATTATGGAATGTAAGTAATGGATTAAGAACTTAAATGTTATTTAAAATAGAGTAAATTATGGCTACATAAAACATAAAATATATATATAATTAAAACAACTGACAACATATATTTGCATTTGATTGCACTTTTAGTGTAAGTTTGCATTAATATATCATTTGATAATATCTTGCAAAGTTATGTGCAAAATAGAATATCTTTTATTGTAAGTTTGCATTAATATATCATTTTATAATATCTTGCAAAGTTATTTGCAAAATATAATATCTTATTGCTATTGCAATAGAATGTTAATCTCATACTTGAAATTATTATATATGAAGTAAATATGAAATTTTCTATGTGTTGTAATGAACATTTCCAGCTGTAGGCATATAAAATTGCTTATAGGTCCCTTAGCTCAGCTCGGCACGAACCGACAAACCAACGAGGCGACGAGATCGACGAATCGCACGCAAGCAACGGAATACATCCATTCGCGTGCGGGATCAAGCCAAGTGTTCGAAGAGTCAACGAGTCATCCAACCAAAGGCATACTCGGACGAATGACGATCGAATCAAGATCGGTTTCGGACTCCGAGGCGACGAGATCGACGAATCGCACGCAAGCAACGGAATACATCCATTCGCGTGCGGGATCAAGCCAAGTGTTCGAAGAGTCAACGAGTCATCCAACCGAAAGCGGACTCGAACGAATCACGATCGAATCAAGACCGGTTTCGGACTCGAACTCAGAAGTGGATTTACTGCCAAATCAGGAATCCGACTTACTGCCAAATCAGGAATCAAATCAGAGTCTGAATCAACCGAATCACGGACAGAACCCAAAGGTGGAAAACAGCAGAAAACCAAACACCCGGAGGGGCTCGAAAACGTCCAAGTTCTCTTCCAACAGAAAGGTGCGTTGGTACGAAGAAGTTGAAGCTACCAACGACGACCTCATCTCGATTGACGCCAAAGTTGCGTCAGATGAGGCTCCACCAATCTCCAACCAGATCAAGCTGGTTCCAACCAATTCCTCCGTCACCAAAGGAGCGGTGACTCTCTCAAAGAGAGCCCGCCAAAGGCAACGCCAACGCTTGGCCAAACAATTCGCCAAAGCGATGGAGTCCACCGACGGAGTCCGCTACAACGCGGGTCTGAAGAACAAGAGAGGCAAACAGCCTCAACAACAGATGAACGGCGCCTCTTCCAAGCCGCCAACAATGGAATGGGTCCGTGTCAAACGGAATCGTTCGACGCTGGAAGAACGCATCCGCAAACGCCGCGCACTATCAGCGCAGGCACGGGCTCAAGCCGAAGAAGCCCGTAGAAAGTTGCAGAAAGAAGTGGCCAAGAAGCCGCCACCAACTCGCAAAGTTTGGAGGCCAAAGTCTGAAGCGGCAATTCAGGCTAAGGAGCAACCTTTGCAGCCTCCAACCAAAATTCAACCTCCGGCGAACCCAGCTAAGTCGCCGAGAATTCCCATAGCTACTCCGGGAGATCATGCAGAATCCTCCCGAAGAAGAAAGCCAGTCTTGGAGCGCCTCGGTCCAATTCCCGATGAGCGAAGCAAAGCTCCGATCCAAGAACGTTTGGGCCCACTAAGAAAACCCCGAACGAATCAACACGCTGGGGGTCACCGCTACCTCCAACATGACAAGGAGCTCAAGGCAACTGCGCGCGCTAATTTGCGCATTGAGGTCCAAGAGCCCGCTGAGAATTCACGCCCAAAAAGGCATGTCTCAAGGCGCGTGACTCTTGAAAGTCCAAGGAAGGCAATTCGCCCTCAGA